GCACCTGCCTCCGGGGCTGCTGGGGCTGCGTGGCCGGGGGGGGTGCTGTGGGGCACAGCGCGCAGGCGGTGAGGGCTGGTGGGCCTTTGCTGGCCCGCGGGAAGCAAAAGAGCGCCCGCAGACGTCTCTGCAAAGCGGTTTTCGTCCTCCGGTGTCTGGCAGCGCGCCGACCTGCCCGGTGTCAGGCGTGCGGTGGGACACCCTCACGCCGCCAGCGAGGCCTGCGGGTCTCCTCCCCTCGCCTTGAGAGCAGGAGAGTTGTATAAAAGTTTATTACTAGGAAACACACAGTCTGCCAAGGTTGCACTGAGCAAAGCTTGGTTTAAATTATGCTTTCGAGGGTAAAAAGACCTGAGAAGATGCTATATTTTTCTATTAAATGAAGTGCCATTTCAGGTCAGGAATTGCAATAGGGTTCGGGGTTTTTTAATCCTTTCCTGGTAAAATACTGTTTGTGTAGATATTGGGCCAATTCTGCTCCCATCTTTCAAAAGCCTCCTGCTTGCTTTCTGCATGAAACATTGCATCTCTGAAAGAGTGCAGCACACCAAGGCATCCCAATAGGTGAGCTGGTGAGTTTTATAATCTTGAGGAAAAAAATGGCCATACTTGGTATTTGCCCCGCTGTGGCATTATGATACCAAACACTGACAGGGTGGAGGTGAAGATTTGAGAAGGATATTGGGTAGTATCTGCATGGAGGAAGGGGGAACTCTCCCAGCTTGTCTTTCCATGCCTGTGGTTTCGTGGCATTGGATCAGCAATAGGAGTTAGGAAAAATATGCAGGTCACATAAGAGTAGGGGCTGGATTTTAGGCCTGGATGGGAAATCCAACAGACCTGGGGACTTTAGGGGACCTGGGGTTTTACCTTAGCTTTAACTAACAGGTTTCATTGTTCTGGAGTACATGAGTTTGGAGCTACATCACAAGACTCTGGACTGAAAGACAGCATGGGGGGTGTGGGCCTCACCCCCATCACCTGTGGCTCCTCTCCACTTTTGACCTCACTGCTGCTCACTTATCCACCTTTTATCCATTTTCATTTCTCCTAACTGTTCAGGGTAAAACGTAGCAGAAAGTAGAAGCTGGGGCACGTACGGATGGGGGGCGTTGAGGGCAGCGGCGGGGGAGCTTGGGGGCAGGGGGGGGCCCTAGCTGCCTCTTCCCATTAGGGACCAGTGCAGGGCTGCGGTCCCCACGCAGCATCCGCGGGGGCTCCGCTGACGCAGAGAGGCAAGGAGAACGAGCGCTGCTGCTTCTCACCGCGGGGCTCATGTCCCGGCGGAGGGGCTGGGGAGCAGCTCCCACTCCCTTGTTCCTGCGCGGGTGTCAGGATGGAGCCACTTGCCACCTGGCCAGCCGCTAAGACAGCCAGGCGTATGGGTGTGCGGAGCGGATAAAAATGCTGTGTTTGTGGGAGTCGGGGCAGACCCCTGGGAGGTGCGAAGCCCGCCGGGGCCCGATCCCTCGGGCACGTCCCGCCGTGCTCAGCGCTGTGGGCCCGGGGTGGTCAGCGAGCAGGGACTGGTATTCTCCCATGCTCCGTGCTGACCATCGCCGGGTGTCGTGCGCGCTTTGCAGCCCCGCCGGGGCGAGGGACTGCTCCTGCTGCCCGGCCCTGCTCTGGGCCCGAGGGACCCCGAGATGAAACCTATCAACGGGAAGGGATGGGCGCCGGCGGGCTGGCAGCTCTTCTTGCCCTAGAGAAGCAGAGCCGCTGTGGATTCCCAGCTGTGCCGCGGTGCCCCTCGCCCACGGAGGTCTTTACCGCTTTCCCGAGCCAGGGTCGGGCCCCATCCCTCGCAGAAGGCTCGGTCTCCTCGGGCCGGGGCGTGTACAGCGCCGAGCACCCCGGCAGAGGCAGGGCGGAGGACGTCGCAAGCCCGGGTGCTCCGGGTCCTCTCCGGAGGTGCAGGGTGCGCGCCCTCTGCTTAGTCCCCCGGCGGGGGGCATTGCGTGGGCCCACAGATGGTCGAGAGTGGGGGCTGGTGGGCCAGACCCCGCACGCAGCGCTGCCCTGGCCCCACGTCCCGCCCCGTCTCTGGACCTTTAGCGACTCCTGGTCCCCGTGAAGGTGGCTGCCAGCTGGACTTGTCCTGTGGTCACTGACTCTGGACGGAAGGCGGTGTGCCCCTTGGGGTCCGTGTCCCGTGTCCCCCCCCATTGGTTCCTGCCCTCGGGCAATTGAAATAACGAAGTGTCAGGCGCTGGTCATACATTTTCTTTGCTGGAGGCGTCGTTCCCGTAAGCACGCCGCTATCCCTCCCGGCAGGCAAGAGGGGGGCGGGTGAGACACCCAGGCAGGACAAATATTGAAAGAAGGGCGTTTGCGACACAGGCGGTGCTGGCCCAGGTGCGTTGCCGTGGCCCGTGCTGTGCTGGTACGGGCTCCTGCTCTTCTCAAGTTTCCTTTTCGTAACGTCTTAGGCAACCGGAGAGGAGCCTTCCCGCGCCTCAGGCGGTTCCTTCGGGGACGGTCCTACTCATTTCTCAAAGGCAGATGTACAAAACTGGAATCGTTCGTCTTTAAAGCCGTCATTGCCGCAGGGGCGAGGGCTGAGCTCGGCACAGTGAGGGAACCACTTCTGCCCCTGAGCTGGGCATCGCACCGGGCACGGAGCGCCGGCGAGAGCGATGTTTCATTGCCTTCGCACCCCAGCGCACACGTAGAGCGCCGGCCGTGCCCGGCGAGGGGGAGAAGGGCTGTACGAGATCAGCCCCACGCATCGCTTACCTCCCGTGGGGTGCTGCTCGCGAACTTTCCAAAGCTCTGCTGGGTCTGAACGGTTTCAAGGCAGGGCCCGAGTCCCCGACAGTTTGGAAACAGTGGGTTCCCAAAATATCCCTCTGCTTTCCCCAGCAGCGCCCTCCCATCATCGGGAGCTGCCGGGCGGCCGCGGGAGACCCACTGCCCCAACGGCGCCGCGCAGTGCCCGTCGGTCCTGACAGAGCTGCCTCGCACGGACGGACAGACCGCACAGACTGGCTTCCCAGACCACCTGCCCGAGTTTTGTGGCCCGCTGGTGTCGTGCCACCTCCACAGTGTGACATTGACTGCCCAGCGCTGGAGGGCTCACCCCGGCTGTGCGGTACCAACGTGCGCCGGAGCAAAACGGGCACCGCCGGCCCTGGGGAAGGTAGAAAGACTCTGGGCATGGTCAATGGGCTGGGCTCCCCCAGCCTCTCTGGGCACGTACTGTCCTTAGATCAACAGCAGAGATCCTGTTTCTCCTTCCTCATCACCCCCTAAAGCCTTCAGAGTTGGCCGGCGGGAAGGTGCTTCACCACCACGTTAAGGAGAGACGCCCTGGTGCCTGTCCCGCGCTCAGGGACAGGGACAGACACAGACCGGCGTCAAAAAGCTGCGCTGGGAGGAGGCTGTTGGCAGAGGCTTTGGGGGAAAAGAGCCTGTTTCGGGGGGTTGCTCCCCCTCTGGATCTGGCGGCACTTGGTCTGTCTGACCATCTTGTCTGTAGGGGAAATGCTGCGAGGCGGGCCGTGGGTCAGTGTAGGAGTGTGTGTGTGGAGTGGATGCGGTGGTGACTGGGGCCACTCGACGTGGTTTGCTCATCGGCTTTGAACTCCCCGGCTCCAGCCATCTCATGGGTGATGACTCCTTGGGCATGCAGGAAAGGGAACAGCCAGCTCCGCGGCCAGGAAATTCCCACGAAATCACCTCAGCGTTGTTAGGATTTAGGGTTTTGCTTGCTTATTTTTCCGGGTGTTTCGGGGTAGGAGTGACATGGATCCGAGAGGATTTCATGTACGATATGTGCTGGATTTATACTTGTGCTTCTGTGTATGATGCCTTCACCCGTAGCGTTCATTCCCCGGCTGCATTCATCCCGGGTGAGGCCGTGCCAGGCAGGGATGCAAGGAGCTGGCTCGTCGGCTTTCGGAAGACGAGATTCTCCAGCCGCAGGCGTGGACCGGCGTGCCCGGTCCGCCCGGCCACGGTGCGCGGGGCAGCCGTGGGGGAGGACCGGGCATGCGTCCAGGTGTGCCCCCGCTGAGCCAGCGGGGACAAGAGGGGCCGCGGGCAGGGCTCCTGTCCCCCGGGGTCTGCACGGGAGGGGGGCCCGGGCTGCTGGCAGGTGACACGGAACAGGGGCGCGGGGACGGCGCCTCGGCTGCGCAGCACGACTGTGGGACCGGCTGTGGCTGAGCTGGCGGCTCCTGGGGGCCGTGGGGATGCGGGGACGGTCGTGGGCTCCCCCGGGCTACCCGGCCTCTCCACCTCCCCCCAGCAGCCTCAGGGGCCGGGCACGGCGGGTCTCTGCCCTCCCACCCCGCCTCACGCCCGGCTGCTGTGGGGCCGCCACGCATCTACCCTCCCAGCGCTGGGGAGCGCAAAGGGAGGGAGGATGCTCGCGGTGTCAGGGGGCAGCGCGGCCCCCCCGGGGCGGGGAAGGGGAAGCACCGCGGTTCCCGTGCCGTGCCGAAGCTGCCTTTGCTCTCCCAGGTGGGTCCCTCGGCTCGGCGGGACGGGGCCGCTCGGGAGGAGCGGTCCGGGGGCGAGCGATGCCTCTGCCAAGCTACGGTTTTGGGCACCGAGGGGCCTCCCGCCCGCCGCGCTCCGTGCCTCCCGGCGCGGTCCCCACGGACCGCCCCTGGAAGACCTGGGAGTGCTGGTGGGCAGCGAGCTGGGCGGGAGCCAGCCGTGTGCCCCGGCCGCACAGGACGCCAGCAGCATCTCTGGGCTGCGCGAACACGATCACAGCTCAGGAGACCGAGGGAAGGGATTGTTCCCCGCACTCGGCATTCGTGAGACAGTATCTAAGTGCTGCGGCCGGTTTTGGGGCAGCCGGGATAGGAAACAGACCCATGAGGGACGAAGGGCCAACGGGGCGCTGGGCGCTGGAGCAGCTGCCCGGGGCGGAGAGGCTGCGGAGCGGGGCTGGCTCAGCCGGGGGCAGAGGCGGTGTCGGGGGCACCCCGCAGCACCTTGCCAGAGCCTGCGGGGGTGGGCATCCACTGGCTCTTACGGCGGGGCATGGTGCGAGGCTGAGGGACAGCGAGCGTGAATGGAAACAGGAGTCTGGACACACGGGAAACCTTTTCCACAATGAGAAACAGGAGAGGTTCAAACGTCGTATCCATAACGGAACAACACTCCCTTTAACCCCGAGGAGGGTGCAGCAGCAGCAGCGGCACAGGTTGCCCGGGGAGCTTGTGCAGGCTCCATCCGTGGAGGTTCTCAGGAGCAGACCGGATCAAGCCCCGAGCAACCCGGTCCGGCCTCGCAGCTGCCCCGGCTGTGAGCAGGAGGTAGCACTGCAGCCCTCCTCAGGTCTCTCCCAGCCTGGGGTCCCACTCCCACTCACAGGGGAGTGGGCAGCACAGCAGGGCCCGCGGGGCTCCCGGCCGCGCACGCTGGGCACGGGCAGGCTGTCAAGCCACAGGCGGGGGGAGATGGAGAGGGGCCTGCCGCGGTCGCCGGCCGCGGGCAGCCGGGCTGGGCTCTCCCAGCGCAGCGGAGGGTACCGGGCGGTGATGCCCGCCCCAGGGAGCCGCGGCTGGAGGCGCCCGTCCACCCCGGCCAGCGAGCGCTCCCCGGGCCCGCGGCCCCCGCCTCGCCCCCCTCGACCCAGCTGCCCCGCGCCCCCCGAGGTCCCCGGTGCCGGTCGCCGGCTGGACGTGAACGGGGAGCCGCTTCGCCGTCGCATCGCCCCTCGAAAGGGAGACTCCGACCGTCTCCCCGTCCCGGAGCGGTCCCCCGGCCACGCGTGGGCGCGTTCCTGGCTTCGCGCGAAGGTTTCCTCCTTCCCTTCTCGTTTTTTTTCGCGTGGTCCGGCTGCAGGCAGGGCTTTCTAAGAAGTGGTTCTTGCAAAGCTCTTTGTTCCCTCCCGTGAGTCACGCGTTTCCCCGCCGTTATCACGGCGTTGTCAGCGGCTTTGAAGTCGAGTCATTTATTACTTTCCCGGAGCTGGCCCTGTCTCGCTCTGCTGATAGAGCGGGGTACGTTTCCACTCGGGGTTTGATCTCTGCCCGTGCTGGTGGCACACTAGAAAGTCACTTTCGATAAACCTCGACAGACTCTGCCGGACAAACTATTGCAACGCTAATGACAGAGATAATCCTCCCCTAATCTGCCGGGTAATCCATTTCACCCCAGTGAGAATTTTTAAGGCTGTAATCAGTGAGAGTCAGTTAGGGAATTATTAACAGATCCTCCGCCAGACGAACTCCTCCTGAGAGGGCAACGGGAGTGGGAAAAGGAAAAACGCAACAGGGCCCGATGCGGTCAGAACCGACGCACGGCCGGGCGCAAGGAGCTGACGTGATTGATTTCGATGTTACGATAGAATTGTCTTCAATTCAAACGCCGCGAGAAACCCCGCGCCATCGATCCGCCCGATGCCCGCTCCGACGGGGCCTCCGCCGGCGGCGGGAGCTGGCGGCCCGGGGGAGCGAGAAAAGTGCTGGGGGAGGGGGGAAGATCCGCGGGGGCGCCCCCCGCCGGTGTCCGGCAGGAGGCTAACCCGCTCGCTGCCAACGCTCGCGTTCCGGTCAGCGGCTCCTGGGGAGAG